TGTTGGACTGTGGGGATGCTGCTCTTCTCAGTCCTGGAGAAGTGGATCCTCCTTGGTCTCCATGGAGACCAGCCTTGTCTTGTCTTGGTCTGCTGGAGTGTCTGGTTGACATGTTGCTACCAGAACTGCTCACATTCATCAGGATGCTCTTGGTGCTGGTCCTTGGGTTCTTCTTGGCCTCCACCATTCTTCCAGTGCAGGCCTCAGGTCTGTCCTCCTGCAGCCCTTTGACATGTTCCACAGTGAGGAACTCCTTGGACTTCTTCATGATGCTTCAAAGTGTGAACCTTGAAACCACTTGATATGACTTTATAGCCTTTAAACGTCTTGTGAGCAGCATCCAGAGGTCCTCACTGAGCTCCTGACTGACTAGAGAACTACGGCATCAGCTGTTCTCAGATTGTAGTGCATTAGAACGCTCTAGAACCTGGTAGAAACCAGCAGGAACATTTGGAATGAGATAAAGAAGCTACTTTTTCTTAAAACCTGGCAACAATTTCAAGGAGCATGAATCAAATTGGATACGACATTTTCAGTAAAAAGGGGGGAAAAAAGTATTTTCTCACTTGTTTATGTCATTTCCAGCCAAAAGAAACCTGTTTGTCAGATAAAAAAATCACTGTATATCAAAATCTGGCATGAACATGAGTCATTTCGGGGTTAATCTCTATCGAAATAGTCCAAGGCCTCAGCATTTGCGTCAAGAGACCAGATAAGGCCTCCGAGTTGTCAGAATCAAACCGACACGAGAGAACGTCTGAGATCTGCTGAAGAGTAACAGACTCAGTGAAACACAGAGTTTCCGTCACACGTCGCCTCGCAGCAGAGACACGCTGACCGGTTACGATGTGTTACTTTCTCTGAATTGGGTGTTGACACCGTGTCTCTGTCGCCCGCAGCTTCAGGCGTTTTTCCTGGTGGCGGACGACATCATGGACGCGTCGGTGACTCGCCGAGGGCGGCCCTGCTGGTACAAGACGGTGAGGCTCAATAACGGTGTTCATAAGGGTGAATGATGGGGTCGTAGTTTATTTACTGTGAGGACACGGCTGGAGTCCAGACGGTGGATTTAGAGCTGCTCTACTGTACTGACAGATTACCCCGGGCATCTTCTTAGACTTTGATCAACTTTATTGAGCCACAAGGGAAATAGTTTCATCACAAGAGCACAAAATAAGTAATTATATAAGAATATACAAAAAATGAAATAAAAATAAAAAGAAAGCAGGAAATAAAAGAATACAAGACAAAGATGTCCATATGTTCAACTTCACAGATTTTTTATTTCCTTCTCTATTCTTATATATTACGTTCTGTGGGGAGGAAAGGGTTTAATACAGGTGCTTTTTTAAAAAACACATTATTAACCTTCTATTTTCCAATACCGATGCGATTTATTGGTAATCATTGGTGCTGATATCTGATATTTGGAGCTGATATAAAACAGAAAAAAAATCAAAATTCCTGATTTCTTTGTCATAAATTTATCAAAAGTGGATTTCTAAACATTCATCCTTCAGCGTTGATTGACTTGAGACAGAAGCCACAGCAGTTGCTCGATTAGTTTTCAGCTGTTACATTGAGTATTTTAATAATCAACCAGTCGTTTAATCGGTTTTAGCAGTTTGTCAAGAAAAAAAAAACAGTTAACGTCTTCTATTGCAGCTTCCTGAATTTACTAGTTAGAAGCTGTAAAAGCAGACAAAGTTGTCAGATCTGTGACGCACCCTTTCGTGGGAAAACGTGAATAAATCTCAGCTTAAAATTCAAATATTTCATCTAAATAAGTTGTGTTAGTGACAAAAATCCAGGAACGTTTCAACTCAGCTGCAGCCTGTGTTTACAGATGTGTTGAATCAGATTGAAAATGTAAATAAGTAAATATCTACAGTATGTGGAGTCACCACTTGGAGCATTTCTGTGTCTTCTCCTTCCTTAAACGCTCTAGTTTAATGTGACGATTAAAAAGATGCTTGGTTTCCCCGTTTGCTCTTCCAGGATGGAATCGGTCTGGACGCCATCAACGACGCCTTCCTTCTGGAGTCGACCATCTACAGACTCCTGCGTCGGCACTGCAGGGATCAGAAGTACTACGTCCACCTGCTGGAGCTGTTCAATGAGGTGAGGAAGGATTGGAAACACAAACACAAACACTCTGATCCACTGTTTGCTGATTGAACTTTGCTGCGACGTGTAAAAGCCTCTGAGGTGCTGCTGCAGAGGGAAATTAGTCACGTTTAGCTTCAATCAAAACTTATTAAACTGATCTTATTCAACAATTAAATAGAAATTAATCCACCTAGACCTAAAAACAAGAAACTCACGCTCGTTCAGCATAACTGAGGGCAACACCAATATATATTTTATTTAAAAAAAAATAAAAAAGCATCAGTTTCCAGAACCAAAGTAGATTTCTGTTCAGCCAACAGCCCAAAACCTGAAGATATTTATTGTTTTAGATGCAAATATTCAACCTGATTTTGTCACGTTTGCGTCAAAATGTCGTAGAATAATTAATTAAAGCAGATGAATTGACTGTCAGCACCTTTGAACCACAGGTTTAGAGAGTACATTATAAATATTTATAATTTATGAGCAGATTAAATATGTTCTGAATGTGCAGAAAGGTTTGCAAGTGAGCAAATATTTCACTGAATCTGAGAAATTAAAGTTCAGAAGTTTATAAAAACCACAACAACAAAAAAACAAGATATAAATGTTTAAAATAACTTTTCGCTGCTCTTAATGGCTGAACATTTCAAATTTATTTTTATTTTAGAGGTTGATGTTGCCATCCTCTTTTGTCTTTTTTTAGTATTTTATTATTATTTCTATTTATTTTATTCTATTTATTTTATTTTCCCAATTGATTTAACTCATTTTATGTTGTCTATACGTTCATGTTTCTTCTTATCTCTTATATTTTTATATAATGTTTTGTTTCCTCTCTGTGAACATGTGCAGCTCCAGTTGTTTTTAAAAGTGCTGTATAAACAAATTTAACTTCATTTGATAAAATGAGGTGAAAAGGAGCCACATTTAAGTGCATTTAAAGAGATTAAATATGTCACAAAGGACAAAAAAGAAGACAGATGAGTAAATAAATGTGTCAAATCAGCTGGTTTATTAGTTTAGTCAAGTTTATTTTCAATACTACTCTATAATACACAATGATTTAGAGTCTTGCTGCATTATATTCAGTTATATTTTGAATTTTCTCCTTAATTTTATGTTTTTTTAAAAATTATAAATAAAGATTTTTCCACCATAAACTGATGCAGAAAATTCACCAGAATGCACAAACACGCCTTCAGCTGTTATGTTTGTCACCACGATGTGTGCACGCTCAGGTTTTTATTGCCCCTGTGTGCGTTTCAGACGGCGTACCAGACAGAACTTGGCCAGACTCTGGACCTGATAACGGCGCCGCCTGGTCGGGTCGACCTCAACAGATTCACCATGGAGAGGTGAGAAGACGGCGTTTAGGACACGGAGTCAGAGAACCGTTGGCTGCAGAACATAACCGTTTATGTTTCTGTGTTTCAGGTACAAAGCGATTGTCAAATACAAGACGGCGTTCTATTCGTTTTACCTCCCGGTGGCGGCCGCCATGTACATGGTGAGTGTGTTTAATCGTCCTGGTGAGAAGGTTAGAAGAAGATCAGCTGACAGGACAAGTAGTGGAGTTATCTAATAATATAGAGATCATCTTTATTTATGGAGCTCTTTACTGGATCAGTGTTTGTTCACGTGTCGGCAAATTAAAACAGAAAAGTCAGAAATGATCAGATTTCAACCCTTTTAAACATCTGAGTTAATTCCTAGTTACACAGAGAAATAAAAAAAAACACACACGTAGGTGTTTATTTTACTACTTTGTCTAGATTTTAAATTACAGAATAAATATATTTAAAGGCTGTTGTCTCAAAAAGAGCTTTTTCCTACGACTCTGATTCATGAGCTCTTAAATAACTGGAATATTTTTTATTTTTCCATATTCCATCATTTTATTTTTGTAATTTTTGAGTTTTTTATGTTATATACATATCTTAATATTTTATTCTTTTTTTTAAATATTTTTTTTCTGACATTTTATTTATTTTCTTGCATTTTTGACCACATTTTTCTTTCTTTTTTTTTTTGCTCTTACTCTGATACAGAAATCTAAAACTGGACGTTTCCTCAATGTTTTGGACATTTTATTCAATCTTTTAATCAATTTGTTTTTAAAAAAGAAAATCTTTTCATGTTTGGTTATTTTTGAGACATTATTTAAATGTCAGTAATAATTTTTACATATTTTTTGATATTTTATTAATATGTTTTGAGATTTTTTTTTAGACTTTTTTTGACATTTTAATGATAGCTTTGGACTTTTTTGGCACATTTTTTAAATGAGACGTGTAAAGTACAGTGATTTTGATTAAATATTACAATCATAAGTGTAGAAACCAAAATTTTTAATTAATTAATTTTTTTTTGCTCTGATACAGAAATCTAAACTTAGACTGTTCTTAAATGTTTTGGACATTTTATTCAATCTTGTCATCAATTTCTTCTTTTTTTAATTATTTTTTGACTTTTTAAAAAATATTATTTGGACATTTTTGAGTCATCTAAATTTCACTAGTTGTTTTCCTATATATATTATTATTATTAATAATAATAATAATAATATGTTTTGAGATTTTTTTAAATTTTGAGTTTTTTTTTTGACATTTTAATAATACTAAATAATACTAATAATAATATTAAAGAGACTGAAACATACTGGGAGCCAGTTTAAAGAGGCTGAACCGGCAGTAATGTGAGGTTATTTCTTGAAGCCTGCCAGCTGCTTTCTGTGCAGGTAAAAGAGACAGGATCTTGTTAAAGGATCCCTGTGTCTCTGAAAGTTAATTTATTTCTGTAATATCACACCAACACCGTTTCTCATCGCCGTCGTTCCCTCTGCAGGCCGGAATCAGCAGCGACGAGGAGCACAACAACGCCAAACACATCCTGCTGGAGATGGGCGAGTTCTTCCAGATACAGGTCTGTACTCTCGCTTGTCCTCCGCCGTCACATTCCCGTTGCTCCTAGTCGTTCCTCATTCAGCAGCTGGTCAATTGTGCGCCGCAGGACGACTACCTGGACTGCTACGGCGACCCCGCCGTGACGGGAAAGATCGGGACCGACATCCAGGACAACAAGTGCAGCTGGCTGGTGGTGACGGCGCTGGAGGTCATGACTCCGGAGCAGAGGGCAGAGCTGGAGGTAGGACGTCGGTCTGAGGTGTGCAGGAGCACTGTGTGGGTGCAGGCGGCAGGTTTTAGCATCTAACAGCTGATGGGACTGAGCAGGAAGTAGAATGACAGAGTTTAGCATCACTCTGAATCTAAAAAGGATCTAAATAGGTTCAGTAAACTGAGGGCAATTAAAGGAATCGTGAACTAGAGTTAAGACAAGTCGGGTTTAGACTGTAGAAATGTGAAACTGGAATTAAAAATAGTCAGAATTCAGCTGCAGAAACACATTAAAGATGATTTGTGGGGATCAGAAATGTTCTTTTTGGCTAATTAAATTACAAGTGTTTACTATAAATATCCAGTCTGGCTGTTCAATGTTAGAACTTCTGGCCACAGGTGCAAAGATTCTGTGTTTTAAAAGTGTATTTTTACAACATTAATTCTATTTTTAATGCATTTAAACCATTATAAAGAAAGAAATACATGTTAAAACATTAGTTCATGCATATATAGCGGTAAAATCCCATATTTTAAAAAGTATTTGATAATTAATTAACTCATAAATTTATTGTCAACAATTTTGATAACCGTTTATCAGTTTAAGTCAATTTTTTAAATTAAAAAAAGTCTAAATTCTGTGATTGCCTCCTCTAAAAGTTCAATATTTTCTGCTTTCTTTCCTCCTCTGACAGTAAACCTAGCATATTTGGACAAAACATGACACTTGTCATCTTTTGGAGACACTAATTTGATATGTTTCACAATTTTCTGACTTTTTTTTTTTTGACAAAACAACGAGTCATTTAATCAATTTGAGTATTTTTTTAAGGGGAAAAAAAAGTCAAAAATCTGTGATTGCAGCCTCTAAAATTTAAATATTTTCAGATTTTCTTCCTCCTCTGTGACAGTAAACTGAATATATTTGAACAAAACAACACATTTGTCATGTTTTGGAAGCACTGATTGATATTTTTGACTGTTTTCTGACATTTTAGAGCCAAAAAACAAATCAGTTGACTTGGAAAACAACCAAACAGTGTTAATTCTCCTCCGCTGTCCTCTGCAGGTTTGTTACGGGCGTAAAGACGAGGCCAGCGTGGGAAAGGTCAAGGCGCTGTACGACGCCCTGCAGATGCCGACGCTGTACCAGAACTACGAGGAGGAGAGCTACCGGCGGCTCCAGAAGCTCATCGCCCATCACGCCCAGAACCTGCCTCACGCCGTCTTCCTCAGCTTCGCCAAGAAAATCTACAAGAGGAACAAGTGAGAGGCTCCACGGACTTCATCGCAACGCACAAACCGAGTTCTCTCACTGGCTCCAATAAGACAGAACTTTTTTGTGGATGTCTGCTTGCGAGTGCCGTCAGACGGGGCTCCTGTCTCGTTCCGTGTTCGCTGGTTATCGTCTCAGGTCGCAGGAATCCAGCAGGTTCTAAGACGGCAGACTTCTGATTTAGAATTTATTTTCTGATTGGCCGCCGACGGCATGGAGTAGTGAGAGCGCCAAATTACAAAAATAAATCAATAAAAGAATAAATATAAAATAAATATAATAAATAAAATAAAAGTGGAAATAAAAAGAAGAATAAATAAAATAAATAAGGTGGCAATATTATTCCAAAAAAAATCCATAAAAGGCAATAAAAGTAGAAATATAAAGACAAATAAATATAATAATAAAAATAATAATACTTCATTTTTTGTTTTGTTTTTTTCATTTTTTTTATTTATTTATTTATTTTTTATAATGTTGCTTTAAAAGCAAAGGAAATATGTACAGAAAAATGACATTCCCACTGCGCACATTTTTCTGCGCATATTTCCTTTGCTTTTAAAGCAACATTATAAAAAAATAAATAAAAAAATGTTAAATTGAATAAACAATTTAAAAATGAAGTATTATTATGACATAAATTTATTAAAAAATAAAAATGAAAAAAGTAACAAAACAAAATGTAAAAACAATAATAAATAAATCGATTTTAAAATTTAGAAAAATTAAAAATGATAAAATAAATAAAAAGAAGAAAAGAAGAAAAAATTAATTATTGCTATTTTTATTATTTTATTTATTTGTCTTTATGTTTCTACTTTCATTAGCCTTTTCTTTCATGGATTCAGGTTGAGTCCTATTGCCACATTGTTTATTTTTTATTTTATTTATTCTTCTTTTTATGTCTACTTTTATTTTATTATTCTTTTATTAATTTATTTTTGTAATTTGTTGCTCTCGCTACTCCACAGACGGGGACGGCACACGGGTGGGAATAAATAAATGCATCCAGGCAGGAAATCTTTTTATACTGTTACTATAAAGTCTGACCTGGATGTCGCTGATGTAAATAAATCTAATATATTACCAGCATTTTTCTCATCTTTTTAATGTTTTTTGGTTTTTGTTTTTTTTTCTTCTTCTGTGTATTGATTTTAAAATCAATTTGGCAAAACAAAAGAACAAAACATCCACAAATATTTTAATATTAAACGCAGAAATGTTCCGGAGTTTCATTCTTTTCTATGTCTGATAGTAAATGTTTAAACAGTTTAGCCTCTGGACACGAGCTCAGCAGATAAGTATGTGAATGAAGTGAAGGCTTTAAGCTTTCAAGGGGTTTCACAAAAACAATGTAAAAATAACTCGTTTGTTTTCCTAAATCTTGATGAATAATGCGTGAATCAGCTCAGATGAGAGGAAACTGGGTTCTTGAATCAAGATGTAACTGAAGTGCAGCTTTAATTTAAAAAGAAAAAAATCCTGCATTAGATATTTACAGTCAGTTAGGCTAAAAACTAATTGGACAATCCAACAATTATAAGTGTGAGGATTACTGTTGATGCTTCAGTGCTTTAATCACACCTGGACACAAACACTATTTGGTTCTGCGGAGAGATAAAGTCACAAAAACAGTCACTTTTAAATTAAACCTGACAAATTTCACCTTGTTTTGGACAAAACGAGCAACTCAAAGACTTCAACAGTTCAGTTAATAAATAGAAACGGTGTCAAACAGCAGCTGTGGTCGGCTGTTTTTGAGGTAATTCTCCTGCAGCCTGATGAATAAATGCATGAATCAGTTAAAGCTCTGATGATCTAACGCAAATTAAAGGAAACTGAACTCTTGAGACCAAATTAATGAGACGCTGTGAGTAATAGTCTGGGAATGACGGGCTTTTTTTTTTTTTTTTTGCTAAATCTGATTCTAAAATCAACAATAAAGACAAAATGATAAAGAATTAAGTTGTTAATGAAGAAGGAAAACGTTTTTTCTGAGATTTGCTCGACTTACTTTCCCTTAATCCTGATGAATAAACGCGCGAATCGGCTCATTGGACTCTCGAATCAAGATGTGACTGAAGTGCAGCTTTAATTTAGCAGCTTTAACAACATTTTTTAAAACATCGTTCCTGCGTTTTCTCAGGCTCAGAACTAATTAGACAAACTAACGTAATTATAAGTAAAAGGATTATTTTTAATACTTGGATGCAAATCCCTCAAATCCACTGAGTTTCTGCACAAATGAAATCAAACAGTGTGACTTTCTAAACGTTTGTGGACCAGACTCTCTGTTTGTTTGGGTTTCGGGGCTTTTAGTAATTCTATCGACGCTTTCTGACTGTTTTCTGACGTCTTACAGGCTCAGCTATTGAATGAACGTAGCAAACAGATTAAAGAAGGATGAATTAACCACAAACAGTGAATGTTTTTGAGATTTACGTGAAGTGATTTTATATTTAAGAACTATTTTAAAGGGTGAGACACATGAAATGACGATTAATCTGAATTAAACTTCTGAAACAAGCACACCTCTACATATAGCTGTGATGATGTAAATAACACACGCTCTGCCTTTACTGTGATGTTAATGTGGGCTGAACACAGAGGGAAAGTGGGATAAGTTTACTGAGAAAACAGTGTCTCTTGTTTTTAGATTCATTTTAATCTGTAATAACTGAAATGATGCAGTTATGAGGTTTAAATGTGAAGACTGCTGGACTTCACTGAGCCCCGAATGGGTCAAGATCCCAACAACACCTCTGATGAAATAAAATAAAATAAAAATAAAATGGAGTAAAATATAATGTAATAAAATGTAATGTGCTATAGTGTAATATAAAACTATATATATATACACAATAAAACATAATGTGATGTACTATCATAATATGTAATATATATAGAATTTTTATGTTTTGTTATTTTATTCTTTAATTATCTTTATTATGTATTTAATTTATATATATATATATAATATTATATATTATGAAGGTACATTACATATTTGTGTGTGTGTGTGTGTGTGTATATATATATATATATATATATATATAATTTTATATTATAATATATATTTAAATCTATGTTTTATATATATAATACACCATACACACACAATAAGATAGAATAAAATAAAATGTGCTATATTATATATATGTAATATAATGTAATGTATTATCATAATATGTAATATTTATATTTATTTTTATGTTCTATTTATTTTATTCTTTAATTATCCTAATTATCTTATTCTTTATTTAATTTATATATATTATGTCATATTACATATTATGACAATACATGACATTATATTTTAGTATTTTACTCTATTTTAAATATTTTTTATTTTAATTTGTTTATTATATATATATATTTTATTTTATTTTTTTAAATAAAGAAATAAACAAAAATAAAGTAAAATATAATGTAATATAATGCAATGTACTAATATATTATATTATATTATATTATATTATATTATATTATATTATATTACAGAAACCAGAAGGTTCTTCTGGACATTGATTCCTGCTGGAGGTGAAGCTGAACATGACTGTAGATGAAGTCCACGTGATGATGAGGAGATGAGGGGTGTGGTCTGTTCTGTTCTGGTGGAGGGGGGAGGGGGAGGAAGGGCGAGGAGGAGGAGGAGGAGAGGCTGGAGGCTCGCGAGAAGACAGATGCTGAGACTGTCGAGATTCACATTCAGTCGGACTGGGATGGACGAGATGGAGACCTTCATCCATCTTTACCTCGATCTGCTCGTGAGTCCGTTTTTACCTCCTTTATTTCTCACACGCGTGAATGTTTGTTTGATTCTGAGGCGAAGCTGCGATGGTTAAAGAAAAAAAAAACAAAAACAGAAAAACAAAAAGCTGCTGTTTGCGCACGGAGGCTGCGCAGATGGAAAACGAAACGCTGCAGTCCCGACCTGAGCGGTGACAAACATCGGGACGTGGATGTGATTTTAACGCGTTTGCCTGTGATGTGTGTATGTGTGAGTGTGTGTGTGATATTTGCGTGTTTTTGTGTATATTTGAGCGATGCGGCTGACTGGGATGCAGGAACCACCTCCTTCCCTTCCCTCCTCCTCCTCCTCCTCCACCCATCCTCCCCATCCCTCTCCATCAGCTCTGTGGGATCAATACCTGCAGGGTTAAACATTGGCTTCAGTTACACATGAAGATCTGCTGCTGCTGGTCCTCTCCATCCTCCTCCTGGTCCAGGATCTGCTGCTGCTGCTCCTGCATCCCGGTCCAGGCCTCCAGTAAACACTCTGATTTACATTCCTCAGTGATGTGAAGGGCACTGGCTCCTTCATTATTTCATGCTCCAGTTAAACATTCATCGCTCTGGGTGCATTTGCTTTCTTTCTTTATCATTTCCTTTCATGTGCCTCCTGTCAGCTTGGACGGATGGAAGCGGCGCAGATGGAGGGAGGAAAAGAAAAAAGAAAAACGCTCCCCGTCAGCCAGCAGAGCAGATGACGAGTGACAGTTATTAGGATGGAAATTAGCTGACAATTATTAGCGTGGAGGTGGTGGTGGTGGTGGTGGTGGTGGGGTGTGGGTGTGGGGGTGCTGGAATCTGAATAATTAAATGTCATGTGAAACCAGAGCTGGAACCAGGTGTCCTGCAGAGACCCGGCACACCAACGGAGCCGGTCTCCGGTGTTGGTCTCGCCGGAAAATCTCAAAAATGTAGCAATAGAGCTAAAAATAATGGTTATTTCTTATTGTTCTTGAATCTTTTAGGTGTTTGGGCTATAAAATGTCTTGATTCATCCAAAGATATTCAGTTTACTGTCATAGAAACCAGCAAATATTCACATTTTAGAGGCTGGAATAGCAGAATTTAGACTTATTTTCCCCCTAAAAACTGTCTCTAAATGAGTAACTTGATCATTTGTCTGGTACTAAAATGACAAAGTGGTCAGAAAATGTCTTATTTATCCAAAGATATTCAGTTTACTGTCATAGAAACCAGAAAATATTCACATTTAAGAAGCTGGAATAAAAGAATTTAGACTTATTTACCCTGAAAATCAATCTCAAAATGAGCAATTTACTTATTTGG